GACAAAATCGCTGGACAACCTTCATGGGATGCATTATCTACCTCCATCAGGCCGAATTGTTCTGGAAGTATTCTTTGCTATATCAGACCTAGAAGAAATATTTGGAGCGACGACTTCGATCATATGTAGACTGGAATAGGCAGCATAACCCGGGAATCAGCCTTTTTGTTAACATATTCGAGGATTCGGATTGGTTCAATGGGTTATTGCAAATTTTTTTCAGAAATCACTGTCCGATTTTACAGAAGAGACTGAAAAAGAGACCCTAGTGGCTATAAGAGGCCTTAAAACGAAGTGAGTAAGAAGGGCAGCGCTTGTAGGAAATTTCCTTTGGGTAGGAAGTCTGCGTCGATAAGTGCATAGAGAAGAAACTAATTAGTCAAATAATCCTCAAGACTCCATATGTTTTTGAGAAAGACCTGCCAAGCCGGCTTATAGGAAAATCAGAAGTTATTCCATGGTTACATAAGAAGGAGCACGCGAAACAGAGGCTCATTCCTCCTGCCTGCAGATATTGTCAGGTCTTTTAAAATTAATCTGGTTAGGTATACAATTACACATCATAATGCCACAAAACCACTATCATCATGACGCCTCGTGACAACAATTAATTACCGTTATAATATTACTGCCTGTGTTTCAGTAACGTTTTCTAATTGTTTCCGATTCGCATACTGTGACCCATACTGACATTGATTTTGACTCCTACAGATAAGTGGAGGAAATTTCTCTTGGATAGGAAGTCTGTGTCGATAAATGAATACAAGACGCATGGAACCTTAGTTAAGCACCGACTGGAAATCTGCACAGATTACACCCCTATCTAACGGCAAAAGCGAGGTCTTCGCAAACAGCTACAGACAAATCAGTCTTACTACAAAAGTGCGGAAAATATAAATAAGCAAGAGCGAATGCGTTCCCTAGAGCAGCATAATCTGCTATACGACGCTCAGTATGGATTCCGTAAAGACAGATAATGCGTGAATAAAACTGCTCTATTGTTTAGAACGCTGGACCCGTCAGTTGATGGAGGGAATTAAGTGGCTGCAGCCTATGTCGACGCTAAGAAGGCATTGAATAGTGTACCACACAAGCGACTCCCGTACAAACTCAACCCAACAGGCATAAGGGGTAATCAGCTGAGGTGCATTCGACGCTTCTAGATCGATCGCTCTCAAGTTGTCCAAATCGGTTACAGGCAGTCAGTGTAGATAGCGGTGGAGAGCGGTATTCCTTAAGGCTCCCTTCTTAGTCCTACCTTGTTCATTATGTACGTCAACGACTGCGTCAGTGAACTAGATCGGGATTTTCCATATTTGCTGATGATGTCAGGCTTTGGGGCGTCATCGCAATTGCTGTTGACGAAGAGTGTTTGCAGGCAAATCTGAACCAGCTGAATAAATGTTCGCAGGCATGGCGTCTGTTGATCAATGTGACCAAGTGTAACATTCTGCTAGTTGGTGGAACCTGAACTCCAATCTCCCGAGTTAACCAACGGGTATAGCTATCAACGCAGGTGAGAAGGTGAGTATAGCCATTGGATGGAGGTAAAGGACCTACGACATCTAAATGCACATGATTGAACCGTGCATCGGGGCTGGGGAACGTGCCCGATGGAGACTTGTTGTGGCGTTAAACCTTGTTACGTTGACAGCAAAGGCACGATCGTGTCCAAGCTCTCACATCCTTGTTCAACCCAGGCCATACGAATCCCAGGATAGTAGAGTCCGTGGAGAGTTTGAAAAACAGCTCGACGCATCGAGGCAGGCACATAAGGGCGATGAAAAGGAGTCGATACGTCACAAAGGATTGTGCCAGTGCCGGTGGTCAATGGGACGTCAACTAATTGAAGACTGTCAACAGACTCGTCGCCAAGGCATCCAGCACGTAGTTGTTCAGCCGCCATAGCACCAAGATCAATCCCGTGTGAGAGGTGAAACGCCGAGAGGGAAGGTCTAGACGGCATGTCGGCCACCGCATTCTTCTGGCCATCAATGTGGCGGATGTCGGTGGTGAATTGCGAGATGTAATCCAAATGAGAAATCTCTCTCGGGTTATATTTGTCAGAATGGGATCGGATGGCAAATGTAAGTGGTTTGTGGTCTGTGAAAATTGTGAAGTCGCGACCCTCAAGGAAGTGTCGGAAATGTTTTACGGCTAGGTAAATGGCAAGAAGTTCACGGCCAAACGTGCTATATCTGGTCGCGGCAGGTGAAAACTTCTTGGAGAAGAATGCCAACGGTCGTGTCGAGTCGTTGATATGCTGTTGGAGGACTGCTCCTACGGCAGCGGTCGAAGCATCAACCATCAGGGACAATGGGGCTTCTGGAGCAGGATGAGTGAGCAAGGTAGCATCAGCAAGGGAGGTCTTTATTCTCTCAAAAGCAGTCAGCGCGTGGCCACGTAACTCAAGGGGACCCTTGGGACCAGAGAGCAAGTTGGTGAGTGGCAGCATAAGGTCGGCACAGTTCGGTAGGAACCGGCACTAAAAGTTTACCATGCTAAGGAAACGTTGCAACTGACGCTTGGAGGTTGGTGGAGGAAAGTCACGAATGGCCTCAACCTTGGAAGAGAGGGGATGCAAACCTTGTGCATCGACATGGTGACCAAGAAAATCAAGGGACGGCACACCCAGAACACACTTCGAAGGGTTAATGACCACGCCAAACTGATCGAGGCGGTCAAACACTAAAGCAAGATGCTCTTTGTGTTCCTCGGCATTTCGACTGGCCACCAAGAGGTCATCGATGTAAGCGTACACAAACGGGAGACCACGTAGGACTCGGTCAATGAACCTCTGAAATGTTTGGGCAGCATTGCGAAGACCAAATGGCATGCGAACAAATTCGAACAGGCCGAATGGTGTGGTGACGGCAGTTTTGGGAACATCCTCAGGAGCGACAGGAATCTGATGGAAGGCCCGAACAAGGTCAATCTTCGAGAAAACCGATTTGCCGAAAAGAGCTCCAGCAAAATCTTGACGATGAGGGACAGGATAACGATCCGGGATTGTCGCATTGTCGAGGGCGCGATAGTCACCACAGGGCCGCCAGTCGTCTGATGTCGCCTTGGGCACCATATGCAGTGGGGACGCCCGTGGACTCTCGGACGGGCGAATTATGCTCAGTTGCAGCATGTGCTCAAATTCGGCCTTCGCCGCTTGCAGACGGGACGGAGCCAGTCGTCTAGGCCGTGCGAATACTGGGGGACCAGAGGTGCGAATGTGGCGGACAACGTCATGCTGGATCTCACCACTGCGAAACTGGGGTTTGATTATGTTGGGGTGTTGGAGGAGAGGGTCTCGGTATGGGCAAGCAATACCTGCGCACAGAACAGATAAATTGCAGGAGTCATTAAAGGGTGTAAGACCGCGGACAGAGAGACCAGTTGTGCGGTCGAGGAGACAGGAATGCCGACAGTCAACAAGGAGATCAAACTCGGCTAGGAAGTCGGAACCAAGGATCGCATGAGGCGCATCGGCAATCACAAATACCCAGGAGAATGATCGACGTAAACCAATGTTTAGCGTTAGGGAACGACTGCCAAAAGTGGAAATGGGGGAACAGTTTGCAGTTTGGAGATGTAGACCAGGGCTGGGACAGCGGCGGTCAACTGGAGTGGGGGAACCACGCTGATCTGGGCTCCGGTGCCCACCAGGAAACGCCTGCGAGTCACATTGTCGCAGACATAAAAGGTGCGACCAGAGCTGGGAGAGCCAGAGAAAACGGTCGCGTCTATTCTCTGGCTGGCTGGTTTCCCTGTTTCGGTTTAAATGAACAAGGGGAAGGACATTTGCGAGCCTTGGCGGCAAAGTTTGCGTGATACCAACATAAATTGGCTGTGCGAGGTCGCGAACGTGAACGATGACGGCTGGGTGAGCGACTACAGGTAATGCGAGCAAGTTGTAGTTTTAGGGAGGCTATCTCATTCGCCATAGCCGACATCTGTTGCAGTAACTGCTCGTTAACCGTTGAAGAGGATGTGGAAATCTGAGCAACGGAAGGTGGCTGGAACCGTTGAACCTCTATCATTCGGTCTGCCATTTCAGCAAGATGGGAAATTGTAAGGTCTTGCGAGCCGGATGCCGAAATCGTTTGAACATCTGCAGGCAGCCGCTCTAGAAACATCTCTTTAACGGGTTTCTCGTCGACCTGCATGTCTCCTAAGAGAGTACGCATTCGTCGGAGAAGTTCTGAGGGCTTCCGGTTGCCCAGTGATTCCTCCTTGATCAACTGGTGCTAGCGTTGTCGGTCAGATACAGCATTGAGACGAAGGATTTCCGCCTTCAGAGCAGAATAAGGAGCGTCTGCAGGGGGTTTCGCTAACAAGGGTTGAACTTGTGAGATAATATTGGCTGGGAGAACCTCCACACGTTTGTAGTATTTCGACAACTCCTTCGTAATGTTGGCGGAGTAAAAGGATGACTCAATGCTGATAAAATACAGTTCAGGGGCGTGTTGCCAGAAATCAGGAAAAGTGAAATGGACGGCATAGACAGACTTGGCAGGAACGTCAGTTTGTCGAGTTGAGGAAGACATAATAAGCAAAATATGGGTAGCACAATATCGTGAAAAGGTTAGCGCGAAATGTAAATGAACTAAAATTTAGCAAATAAATACAGGGCGTTCAATGTCATAAAATGTTACAGAAGGAAAGAACTTATGTCTGCGCTAACGTCGGGAGTCACCATTGACGTAAGTTATGTCGTTCCCGCGAACTAAAGAACTACGACTTACTAACCTCATAAACGGAGAGAGGTAAGGAAGGCCAGTAAGTGAATAAAGTTAATATTCACAATGTGCAACGACCTGACCAGAGAGCATGCAAGCGGCGCGAAGCTTACAAGCGGCGGATTCCTCGTCACGTTAGAACCAATGCTACAGTAAAACAAACGTGAAAAGATTTTCAAAGGTCAAGTAGTCAAGTATTTCAGCACAGTTCAACCGTCGGAGCCGCCGATGTCCACCGTGGGCTACACAGGGAGATGCAGCAGTCACGGTAACTTGCGCGTGAATTCGTTTATGGTGATTGTAGACTATCCGCAGTATCTACCGCATTCTCTCCTACTCCCCCCACCTGCACCCGCTGTCAAGACAGTGCCAGGAAGACGGGAGGCCGGACCCACAACTAGGCGTGTCACAACACCCTCTGGTCGTTAATATAAACTTCACCCGCAACAACAACAACAACAACAGGGGTCGGACGTACGTGGGTGACTGATCAGTCATGCCCGACACCTGTACATTCACAGGCAATGCAAGCGCATCTACTGGCAGGGAACCAGGTGTCAGCGTATACCAGGCTACGAGGGCCATAGGTTGTTGATACTGCCATAGATCTGTCGACATAGAAGGGCGACACGTGTCCCTTCAGGTGGCCTGGGCGGTCACTCCTAAATGTTGAGAAACCAAGGAGACGTCGACTGGCAGCCACCACCAATGAAGCGCACACTATCTTCTCACATGCTTCAGAGTGTCACAGAAAGCTTGAGAAGGAACTATTTCAGCCTGGCTCACAGCATATTTGTTCGCAACTCCACACACTCGAGAAGACGCCGTGACAGCCTGACTGTCAGTCCATCGGTCAGCCACACCGAAGAACACACACGCACACAACTGGGCAGACTGTGTGGACTGATTTGGGGCGTCAGTCAGCAGCCTTCTGAGCCACAGAGATTGACACGCCCTGATGGACTCAGACACGAGCCACACACGCAGCGAGAACAGGGGAGCCGCATGGAGAAGGAGCCGAGACGCATGGGATGCGTGAGATGGGGTGGGTGATGTTGACGTGCGCTGCGATTCTGGTGATTTAGGATGAGATGGAGTGGTGCAGCCGTCGGTTATCTACCACCGGTTTTCGTGAACGCGACTGTGGCCAAATAGAAGCATACGGTGAATAAATGTGGAAGTGGAATGTGGACAGTGGTGACAGGTACGACGGGTGTAGGTCGGTGCTCCAGGCACTGGTTCGCCGCTTCTGTGCGATGGATTTGCAAATGACCGACCAGGCTGATGTGTGAGTTGAAGGTGCGGTCGCAGAGGGGGCAGATGTAGAGCTGGTCCTCTCCTCTGCAGTCGGATGATGTAGGCGTGGTGTCTGTTGTTTTGTCGGGGATGTGTGTGGTGTTGTCCTGCGTGACATTAGCCTGAGCGGCCGTGTTTGGGGCAGTG